GATCAGCTTGGGCAAATTGGCAAGACCTCGTCTCTACCATAAATAAAAAATTTGCTGAGCATGGTAGTGCACGCCTTTAGTTCCACCTACTTGGAAGGCTAAGGCAGAAGGATCGCTGGAGCCTAGCAGATCGATGCTGGGGTGGCCATGAGCATGCCACTGTACTCCAGCCTGGGCAATGGAGTGAGACTCCCACTAAAAAAAAAAAAAAAAAAAGTTTTTAGCTCCAGAAATTATTTAGGCTTGTGTCTTAGTCTGTTTTTTGCAGCTATAACAGAATGCCACAGATTGGGCAATTTATAATCAACAGATTTATTTGGCTCACAGCTCTTGGAGGCTGGGAAGTTCAAGGTCACAAGGCCACATCTGGTGAGGGCTTTCTTGCTGTGTCATAACATGGCAGAAGGCATCATGTGGAAAGAGAACACGGGGGGAGGGGGACGGTGCTGAGTTCATCTGTTATAAGAACCCCACTCTCATGATGACAATATTAACCCTTTGCCCTCAGATGTCCCCTCTGAGGAGACATCAAAAATCTAGCAAACCACTTAGATGTCCCCTTTCAGGGGTCATAATGAGATTGCTGGTGACTATATAGGACAAACATACCCAAGTGCAAATTTTTCAAAATGTGTGTTTTCTTGAAGTTTTCCATTCAAATTGCATGAAAATGCGGATAAAGAGATGGAAATATACTGAGATATACATTTTTAAAAATATCAGACCGGACATAGTGGCTCAAGCCTGTATCCCAGCACTTTGGGAGGCTGAGGTGAGAGGATTGCCTGAGCCCAGGGGTTCAAGACCAGCCTGGGCAACTTGGTGACACCTCATCTCTACAATATATCAAAAAATTAGCTAGGTGTGGTAGCACTCACCTGTAGTTCCAGCTATTTGGAAGGCTGAGGCGGAAGGATTACCAGAGCCCAGCAGGTCAACGCTGGGGTGGCTGTGAGTGTGCCACTGCACTCCAGCCTGGGCAACAGAGTGAGACTCCAACTCAAAAAAAAAAAAAAAATCAGCTGGAGTTTTGTAGAAAGAAAATGTGTGAAGTGCTTTCACAGTGGTGCCAACACTTCTCTGTAACAGAAGGTAGTGATAAAGACCTTTGTGTAAGAAAAGCAACTGAGTATACCCTTTGTATCATATGGCACAACTTGAAAAGATAGATGACAAAGTAACTGTAGCCTTAAAAGGCAGAGACAGCTGGGCTCGGTGGTTCAGCCTGTAATCCTGCGCCTTTGGGAGGCTGAGGAGAGTGGATTGCCTGAGCCCGCGGGTTTGAGATCTGCCTGGCCAACTTGGCGAGATCTCATCTCTACAATAAGTCAAAAAATTAGCCAGGCGTGGTAGCGCGTGCCTGTAGTTCCAGCTACTTGGAAGGCTGAGGCAGAAGGATCGCCAGAGTCCAGCAGGTCGAGACTGCGGTGGCCGGAAGCAGTCACTGCACTCCAGTCTGGGCGACAGTGAGACTCCAACTCAAAAAAAAAACCAAAAAAAAAGGAAGAGACTTTTGAAGCTGAAGGTAGATCATATTGAAGTATCAAGTGACAAAGATCAAATATATCTATCTGTACTAAGTAGGAAAAGTAAAATTGGAAAACTAATATTCTTTTGATAAATTGCTTTTCATCATTTTGGAACTTACAATTGGAAATTTTTATCCATTTATGTAGTTTGCAGGGCAATGGCAAAACAGAAAGACAAAAATGAGAGTTACAAGCAGCAACAAAGATGAGTTAGATTTAGATTCACCTTCATGGTTTTCAGGAATCATGAGTGTGTCCTTTCACATCATCTTCAAACAACAGGCTGTACAATAAATTACATATTATTAATGTGGGAAGAAGAAACCAAAACTGCATTGTCTGCTGGAATACAAAAACACCAAATGGAAGACATTAATCAAATTAATATTGCAAAACACATATCAATGTACTTGCAACGCATGTTGGTGACTCTGTCACACATTAGAAAAATATAAGATATAAAATTTTGGCCGGGCTCAGTGGCTCAGCCTGTAATCCTGTGCTTTGGAGGCTGAGGTGAGTGGATTGCCTGAGCCCGCGGGTTCAAGCCCCGCCTGGGCAACTTGGCGAGACCTCATCTCTACAATAAATCAAAAAATCAGCCAGGCATGGTAGCGCGCGCCTGTAGTTCCAGTTACTTGGAAGGCTGAGGCGGAAGATTCGTCAGAGCCCAGCAGGTTGAGGCTGCGGTGGCCAGGAGCAGCCACTGCACTCCAGTCTGGGCGACAGAGTGAGACTCCAACTCAAAAAAATAAAATAAAATAAAATTTTTATGTTTTGTCGTAAATAAGATACTCAATATCCAAAATTTCATTATAAGCCAAATATCATTACAGTGAAATAATTGATCCCAACACTATACTATTTACTATGAAATGATTCATTTTCCACTATTTTGTAAAAAAGTGCAGTTGAATTGCTGGTAGTTTGATCCAAGAGATGTCTCTGAAAGCAATAGGTTAATTCATTCATGATGGCAAGACCCCCATGACATAATCACCTCTTAAAGGTCCCACCTGGCAACACTGGTGCATTGGGGATTAAGTTTCCAACGCATGAACTTTGAGGGGTACATTCACACCATAGCAAACTGTATCTTAGTAATCTTATAAGTCTTATTAACCCCTGATTCTCCAGAGTCTAGCTCGGCTCCTCACATTGTAAAGTCACTCAATAAGTGCTTGTTGAATTACAAGTTACTATCATGATTACACAATGGTACCATGATTACACTGTATACCAAGTGATGGTCTAGACTTCCACATCATCATCTGAGGCAAGTGTTATAATTAGCCCTTTTTACAGCATATGCTACTGAGACTTATAGAAGTTAATTGACTCCCCAAGTTCATTCAGTTGGTAATTAAAATAACTACAACTAGGCTAGCGCTATAATATTTGGTATGATGCAAAAAAATCTAAACTAGAAGATTCGTGTACTGTTCTGTCAATAATTCATTAATGATTTTTGTTTAGGCACTCTACCTTCTTAAACCTCAGTATTCTCTCTTGGGAAATGTGCTGGTTGGATTTAATAAATTTTCTTTTTTCTTTTTTTTTGAGTCAGAGTCTCACTCTTTCACCCAGCTGAAGTGCAGTGGCACGATCATCGCACATTGCAATATTGACCTCCTTGGCTCTGGCGATCCTTCCACCTCAGTTTCCCAAGTAGCTGGGACTGTAGATGTGCACCACCATGCCTGACTAAGTTTTCTGAGTATTTGTAGAGATGAGGCCTCACTATGCTGCCCAGGTTGGTCTTGAACTCCTGGGCTCAAGTACTCCCTCCCCCTCAGCCTTCCTGGTGGATTTACTAAATTATCTTTGAGTACTATTCAAGGTCGGGTATGGTGGCTCACACCTATAATCCCAGCACTTTGGGAGGCCAAGGTGAGAGGATTGCCTGAGGCCACACATTCGTGACCAACCCGGGCAACTTGGCAAGACCTCGTCTCTACAATAAATCGAAAAATTAGCTGGGCATGGTGGCGTGTGCCTGTAGTTCCAGCTACTTGGAAGGCTGAGGCAGAAGGATCTCCTGAGCCCAGCAGGTCCAGGCTGCAGTGGCCATGAGAGTGCCACTGCACTCCAGCCTGGGCAGCAGAATGAGACTAAAAAAAAAAAAAAAAAAAAAAAAAAAAAAAAGAGTACTATTCAGGAAGTCTATGTGCTACCACAGTAACCTACGATGCCATGTCTTAGCTCTCCATAAGCATGATTATCAAACGAGAAAAAACTATATTCCACTCCACTGTTTAATAAAAGTTTAAATTTTATCAAAATAGCCGAATCACAGTAATATTAACTAGCAAGCCCATCAATAGATGCAGGGACTCCTGAACTTATTTGAACACTGGACCTTGGACAGAGATGGGAGGTAGAAGGAGGACTAAGAGTGGGGAGAGTGATGTTACTCATCTCATGGATGAGGTTTCTATAGGATGCTATCTGTGATAACCTAGTCACCTCTTAAAGGTCCCACCTCTCAACCCCGGTGCACTTCCTGATCCAACAAGACTTCTTTCCCATTTCTTCTTTTCTCTCCTACTACTGATATATGTGTGTGTGTTTATTTTTTGAAACAGAAAACCTTACAGTGATAGTTGTCTTTTGTGCAGGCCCAATAAGTAGAAACATTTTAAACCCCAAACTGAAGCTAAAAAAAGGAAGGCAAGAGTCCCAAGTCGTGTGTCTGTGGTGTTCCAGCCCAGCTGCCCATCATTATCTTTCTCTTAACAATGATATGAAGCTTCTAATGAGTTTGCTTCCGTGTATATCCATTGAACAGAGAAAAGGTTTGGTTTTTGTCCCCCCTAAATTAATGTCTTTAAAATAATCTAAAGGGGGCTAAACAGAACACTTTCCACTCAGATATCCAAAGTGAGTTAGGATTCTCATCTGTGCTTCTGGTAGGTGACCACGGACTAAAGCCACCTTCCTGATTCAATGAAAGTATTAAACACTGGAGGTTGACCTGGAATTCTGGGCTCACCAAGCACCACTGGGACCTGGGACCTCGTGCTCCTGCCTGAGAGAACTGTTAGCATGCAAGATCTCTGCAGGGAAGGTGCTAGAGGAGATGGGGAGAAGGTGACAATCTTCCATGTTTTGGTTCAGGAGGGGACCTGGACATGAGCTAGAGTCCAATCATAATAGCCTTACCCAATATGGTCACAGAATTTCTTAGGAAAATGTTGGGAAACTTAAATTTGTTTACACACATAAACATGAATGTGAGATTGATCAGGGATCTAAGGTTAGAAACATTGGCAAATCCTATCCAAAGTACTGAGTCAGGGAAATTGTGTTTAGAATTCAAGGTGATCAGCTGGAACATGGTATTCCAAATCCTAGTTAGCCATTCAGATTACAATTGCAAAAACGGTTCAGGTCTGCTTTGAAAAGTCCCACAAGCTGGCCAGTCCCTGCAGCTCCACATACTGACCCATTCTGGACTTGGTTCCCCACAGAATGGATCTGCTCCTATCCCTGGTGCTGTGCACCCTGGTCGTGTGCTGTGGGGCTGTGTCCGAGCCCATTTCGGTCCTCAAGCCCTCGCCTCTGCTTCCCCGGGGATGCAATGACTCTGATGTGCTGTTAGTCGCAGGCTTTGCCCTGCAGGACATCAACAAAGACAGAAAGGATGGCTATGTGCTGAGCCTCAACCGAGTGAACGATGTCCGGGAACAGACACAGGCAAGTGACAGTCCCCACTCTGGGGCAGGGATTTGGTCAAGGTGGGAGACTGACCAAGGTGTGGGATCCCAGAGATTCACATTGGCAGGTGCTTTCCAAACTGAAAACTCTTCTAAGAACACTCTGCTCTCCTCTGCCAGGGTATTGTGATGCTCTTATTCTTATTAAAGACAAGTGCTGCCAGGTGTGGTGGCTCACACCTGTAATCCTAGCACTTTGGGAGGCCAAAGCAGGAGGACTGCTTGAGACTGGGAGTTAGAGATCAGCCTGGGCAACATCATGAGATGCCCATCTTTACAAAAAAATAAGTTAAAAATTGCTAACCATGATCCTACTGTGACACTTGTCTAGGGTTCAACAATTTATAGGACATCCTCACAAGCATCCTTGGGCTCTCCCATAAAGTTGAACCTTTTTGTGCAGTCTTTCTGGGTTTCTGCTTCCTGAGGGATGTGGTGCATTTCTCCACCTCTCCCCACAGGATGACCTAGGATCTCTGTTCTATCTCACACTGGATGTGTTAGAAACTGGCTGCCATGTGCTCAGCAAGAAGGCTTGGAAGGACTGTGGCGTGAGAATATTTCATGAATCGGTGAGCGCTTGTTTTCATTAACCAGGAAGGGTTCTAGGGAAAGGTTGAATTCTGCTCAATATCTGCTATCTTTTAAATATTCCCTTTAATAATTTCCAGGCAGCCGGGCTCGGTGGCTCAGCCTGTAATCCCGCGCCTTTGGGAGGCTGAGGTGAGTGGATTGCCTGAGCCCGCGGGTTCAAGACCCGCCTGGGCAGCAAGACCTCATCTCTACAAGAAATCAATAAATCAGCCGGGCATGGTAGCACATGCCTGTAATTCCGGCTACTTGGAAGGCTGAGGCGGAAGGATCACCAGAGCCCAGCAGGTGAGGCTGCAGTGGCTGGGAGCAGCCACTGCACTCCAGTCTGGGCGACAGAGTGAGACTCCAACTCAAAAAAAAAATTTCCAGGCAGATGCCCATGTGCTTATTCTAAAGCTATAGACAGAACAAAGTTTAATAATCAGAGGGATTTCTGAGACATCCCATTAGAGTCACACAGAACAGAATTGGAAAAGTTATCCCCAAATTGTCTTCTGCCTCCAACACCCTTCTTTAGACTCTGAACCAGTATAATTTATGTGAGAAAAACAACTGAAGTGAATATTCTGGGTGTGGGGTAAATGCAGACTGTAGAAGCATTGGAGGCAGTGCTTTTTAAAATTGTTTTACTTTGTTTTGTTTTAATAAACACTGATATGAGATTTAAAGGCAAGAAAATGAGTAGTTCACAGTATAAAAGCTCTTAGGGAGCCAGGGAAAGATTTCCTGAAATCACAGAAAATAAAAGGCCTCAGATGTGATCCTTTTAATGATGACCATAGAAGAAAATTGAAAATAGTCTGTTTCATTTCATTCTTATTTATCCTGGGGTTATTTTTATTAATTGATATGAACCTTTACAACATGAGTAAGGATAGTGACATAAGTATTTTGAAGCAAACTGATCAGTAACTTTTTTCTAATTATGTAACCAAACTACACCTAACTGATTTTGAAAGGCACATACTTTATTGACCCTGTTGTGAATTATATTTTTTATGGTGACACTAGCTACTAAAATATATACACTAAAAGCATATACTGACTCTAACATAAGAGAACTTATTCCTTACTTGTGTGTAGTTCAATTTAGAAGTTCCTGATTAGGAAAGGGCTTTTTTCCAGGGATACTTTGAGACCTGAGTTCATTCCACCCTGGGGTTCTAGTCTCTACCAGTTTTAACATATGACTTCCTTGTTACCATGCTCATCTGCGTCAAGCAATAGAAAGAGAAAGAGCATAGAGCATAGCGAGAAGTGGGAGATCTTCAGGGCCAGACCCTGAAATGGTTACACATCACTTCTGCTCACCCTCCCGTGGTTATAACTCCGTTACATACAGTCACACCTAACTGTGGAGAGGCCAGGAAACCTAAACTAGCTGTGTCCCAGGAAAAGGTTCAACAGTTGGATGATCAGCTGCAGTTCCTCCCAGCCAAAACCCCAGAACTTGATCTTAAGTTTCTCATTACTTTAAAGTAAAATGTTTAATTTTCATTTTAGGCTTAAAAAAAAAAAAAACTGACCAGGCTCGATGACTCAGCCTGTAATCCCAGGACTCTGGGAGGCGGAGGCGAGTGGATTGCCTGAGCCATGGGTTTGAGATCAGCCCAGGCAACTTGACTGAGACCTTATCTCTACAATAAAATTTTAAAAAATAGCCGGGTGTGGTAGTGAGCACCTGTAGTTCGGGCTACTTGGAAGACTGAGGTGGAAGGATCGCTGGAGCCCAGAAGGTCGACACTGGAGTGGCCGCGAGTGTGCGTGCCACTGCACTCCAGCCTGGGTGAAGGAGTGAGACTCCAACTAAAAAAAAACCAAAAACGACTGGGCGTGGTGGCTCAAGCCTGTAATCCCAGCACTTTGGGAGGCCTAGGCGAGAGGGTTACCTGAGCCCAGGGATTTGAGGCCTGGGCAACTTGGTGAGATCTCGTCTCTACAATATACCAAAAAATTAGCCAGGTATGGTAGCGTGCACCTGTAGTTTCAACTACTTGGAAGGTTGAGGCGGGAGGATTGCCTGAGCCCAGCAGATCAAGGCTGCAGTGGCTGTGAGCATGCCACTGCACTCCAGCCTGGGCAACAGAGTGAGACTTCAACTCAAAAAAAAAAAAAAAGAAAGAAAGAAAGAAAGGAAAAAGAAAAACTTCATAGTGTTGTCCACCATGTCATGACAAATCTTTGTTGATTTCAGGTTAGTGGTCAATGCAAAGCCATGTTTTATGTCAACAAGCCGAGTAGAGTTCTCTATTTACCTGCTTATAACTGTACTCTTCGTCCAGGTAAGAAGTCACTATGATTTTGCTAATTTTAATAATAATAATAGGGGCAACCCCTTCAGGTCCCCTCCCACTGTGGGAGCTTTTTCTGTTGTCTCAATAAACCCTGTTTTCTCACTTTAAAAAGATAATAATAATAATAATAAAGGTGAAAAAGAACATTTAACCAGGGCTTTGCCAACAAAGTATAGGGTTTTCCCATTCTTACTCTATTCATTCCAACACAAGTTGTTTAATATTTCCAGTACTTGCTTCCCAATCCAACTTACGCTGCTCCTCTTCCCACAGTTAATCTTCCTAAATCATCTTCAATACCTCTACATTCATGTCCTGCATCTAATCCTAAATTTTCAATCTGATATAAATGGCATGATCTCTATAGCTGGTGCCCGGGCTCCCCTTCTATCTATCTCTGTCACTATTTCCCTGACTACTCCAGCTCCACACTCTACTCTACTAGATGCCTCACTGTTTTCTGAACACACACTGCACTTTCCAATCTCTGTATCCTACTCATGACTCTCCCTCCACTGAGTATGCCCTCCCCAGATGATCTCTGATCTTGGAATGCTTACCTATTTTTTTTTTTTTTTTGAGTTGGAGTCTCACTCTGTTGCCCAGGCTGGAGTTATGTGGTACACTCATGGCCACCCCAGTGTAGACCTGCTGGGCTCCAGCGATCCTTCCACCTCAGCCTTCCAAGTAGCCAAAACTATAGGCACGCCCAGTGAATTTTTTGATTTATTGTAGAGATGAGGTCTTGCCAAGTTGCCCGGGCTGGTCTACCTGTGGGCTCAAGCAATCCACTCTCCTCAGTCTCCCAAAGTGCTGCGATTACAGACTGAGCCATCGAATCTGGCTGAAATTCCAACTATTAAAGACATTCAGCCTAGTATACAGAGACAATGAAAAGATAAGACATTGAATTCGTTGGGGGAAGGTCCTATGTCAATATACCTTATTATGTGTCTTTTAATGAATTTCTGAGAGTAGATAAATGTGGGTGAAGTGAAAACTTCTTGCTTTGAATTCTTTTTTAATTGTGAAAGTAACACACGGTCATCACAGAAAATTCATAGTTAGCCAACAGCTAACGTCTTATCCAGAAAAAGTCTTCCTCACTCTATCCTTGCCAGCACTGTTATCTTTTTTCCATCTTTGCCTCTATTATAGTCATATGATTTATAGGATTGAAAATCATTAATATTTTAAAACTGGTCTCATTGGCATCAACAGTTTCTCAAAAGAAGATTCACATGATGTGCCCTGATTGCCCAAGCCCCATTGACACTGCAGATCCTCATGTTTTGGAAGCTGCCACTGAATCTCTTGCAAAATTCAACAAGGAGAGCACCTCAAAGCAGTATTCTCTTGTCAAAGTCACCAGGGCTACCATGCAGGTAAGGTTAAAATGCCCCGGCCAGTTACACAAACTGTACGTCTCATGACTGCTGCTGTAGATTCCTTGGCTGAGAGGAGTATGTCAAAGAACTCCTTTTGATTAGAGCCCAAGAGCCTTTCTCTACATACCCTTCTTTGGTAGACCTGATGCACATTCAATCACGTTTCAATTTCTAGGTTATTCCATGGCATGTCTAGGAGAATTATCTGACTCAGTTTACTTCCTCAACCCTAAGTCAAAAAGAGAAATGCACTTCTAGTCTCCTTGGGGGATTCTCTGCAGGTTCACTGTTATTGCCACATTATCATATCTGACTGATCATGGCTCATTTAGCAAGACAATTTTTATTCCATGTTAAGCCCTGGAGTGAATGTTGAGTTTTATGGATTAGGGAAAATTAAGACTATTTTGTATTTGGATGATGTTGATATTCCTTTCATATGAAGAAAAATCTAAAAGACAATTCTACATGAGGAAAAATAAACTGACCAAGAGAAAGTGTTTAGGGTCCATTGCAGTCTCTAAGAAGGGAAGACAGGTATGATTATGCTTCCGCTATAACTAAATCATAGTACATGGTTTGCTCAGTGTGAGGACAACAGATATGTGCATTGACCATGCCTCTAGTGATGTATCTCTTCTATAAATATAATGCTACCAAACTTGAATCATTTCCCCATATAGGGTGTTTGATTTTTATGTCTCAACTCTTGTCTCATAACAGTGGGTGGTTGGCCCTGCTTTCTTTGTGGAATACTTAGTCAAAGAGTCACCGTGTACCAAATCCCAGGCCAGCAGCTGCTCACTTCAGTCCTCTGACTCTGTGGTGAGTTTCCCTGAATGTCTTCATAATTTGAGTTTTCACAGATCATCTGTAAGTATTTGTGGAGCATAAATTATATATGAAGTGCTGTAAAGCATGAGATACTTTTCCTCCCTTCAAGGAGCAACTGACTGGTTAGAGATTAGGTAGGCCCAGATGCAATAATAAGGAATTCCATTCAATTGTAAGTGCAATTTTCATCATCAATTTCAGAAGTGATTATAGGGGATTGTAAAATATAGACAAATCTCAGTGGTTGGTGATGATCCTGCTTTGATTGGAACAAATCCAGTTACATTTGGAATGCAGTATGGTGTTCCATTCCTTGGGTCACTCTTTAAGAAGGACAGTGTCAAATAGACATTTATTCAAAGGATACATCCAAGATGGGAGAGTGCCTTGAAATCATTAAGGCTGGGCACAGTGGCTCACGCCTGCAATCCCATCATTTTGGGAGGCAGAGGTGAGAGGATTGCCTGAGCCCAGGGGTTAGAGACCAGCCTGGGCTACTTGGCGAGGCCTTGTCTCTGCAATAAGTCAAAAAATTATCCAGGCATGGTGGCACATGCCTGTAATTCCAGCTACTTGGAAAGCTGAGGCAGAAGGATCGCCAGAGCCCAGCAGGTCGAAGTGCGGTGGCTGTAAATATGCTACTTCTACTCCATCCTGGGTGACAGAGTGAGACTCCTACTCAAAGAAAAGAAAAGAAACCATTTAAAACACACCTGGTAGAAATATAAATGGGCATAATGTGTTGGAATACAATTGAATAAAATGCACTGAGAATCTTTTTTACCTTTATTTACGTATAGTAGAAGCTTTAAGATTTAATTCATATACCACAACATTTATCCATTTAAGGCATACAATTCTGTGGTTTATTCACAAAATTGTGCTGCCACCACTACTTTCTTATTTTGGAATATTTTCATCAACTCCCCAAAACTTCATACACATCAACAGTCATTCTCATTGTAGCCATTCCCATTGCCACATACCCAAGCCTTTGGAAAACACTAATCCACTTGGTTTCTATGGCTTTACCTGTTCTGAACATTTCTTTTTTTTTTTTTTTTTTGAGTTGGAGTCACTCTGTCGCCCACACTGGAGTGCAGTGGCCACTCCCGGCCACTGCAGCCTCGATTTGCTGGGCTCCGGCGATCCTTCCACCTCAGCCTTCCAAGTAGCCAGAATTACAGGCATGCGCTACCAGGCCTGGATGATTTTTTTTTTTTTTTTTTTATTGTAGAGATGAGGTCTCACCAAGTAACCCAGGTGGGTCTCGAACCCGCGGGCTCAGGCAATCCACTCACCTCAGCCTACCAAAGTCTGGGATTACAGGCTGAGCCACCGAGCCCGGCTCTGATCATTTCATATACGTGGAATCATACAATATATAGCCTTTGAGGTCTGGTTTCTTTCACTTAGCATGTTTTCAAGTTTGCTCCATCTGTAAATAGAGATAGTTTTACGTCTTCCCTGGCAAATAATATTTTATTGCATGGATATTATGTATTGCTTATCCATCCATCAGTTGATGGACATTTGGTTTGCTTCCTTCTATGAACAAGTGTGCAAGTTTTTGTGTACACATATGTTTTCATTTCTTTTAAATATATATCTCAGAGTGGTATTGCTGGGTCACATGAAAACTCTATGTTTAACCCTTTGACTAACTGCCATGCTATTTTCCAAAGTGACTGCCTCACAATTTCATCAGCAATGCCTGAGCTTCAATTTCTCCATATCCTTGCCAATACCTATTACTATCTTTCTTTTTGGTTATAGCCATCCTGTTGGGTATGAATTGGTATCTCATCGTGATTTTTAGTTGCATTTCTCTAATGGCTAATGACATTAAGCGTCTTTTAATGTGTTTATTAGCCATTGGTATGTTTTCTTTAAAGAAATGTCTAGCCGGGCTCGGTGGCTCAGCCTGTAATCCCGCGCCTTTGGGAGGCTGAGGTGAGTGGATTGCCTGAGCCCGCGGGTTCAAGACCCGCCTGGGCAGCGAGACCTCATCTCTACAACAAATCAAAAAAATCAGCCGGGTGTGGTAGCGCATGCCTGTAATTCCGGCTTCTCCGAAGGCTGAGGCGGAAGGATCACCGGAGCCCAGCAGGCGAGGCTGTGATGGCCGGGAGCGGCCACTGCACTCCAGTCTGGGTGACAGAGTGAGACTCCAACTCAAAAAAAAAAAAAAAAGAAAAGAAATGTCTATATAAAACCTTTGCCCATTTTAAAATGTTGTTAATTATCTGTTTCTTTTTTTGTTGAATTTCAAGAGTTCTTTACATATTCTAGACATAATGCCATTAACAGATATATAATTTTAAGATAATTTTCTTCTGTTCTCTGGAGTGTCTGTTCACTTTCTTAAATACAAAAGTTTTACATTTTGATGAAGTCCTATTTATATACATTTTTCTTATTTTGAATGTGCTTTTCACGTCATATGTAAGAAACCATTGCCTAGTCCAAAGTCACTAAGATTTACATCATGTATAAAATACAAAGAATCCAGAATGCCAAAACAATCTTGAACAAAGAGAACCAAAAGGAAAAACTCACACTTCCCAATCTCAAAACTTACTACAAAGCTACAGGATACAAAACAGTGTGGTACTGGTACAAGAATGTGTAGATAAATGGAATAAATTTGAGAATAAAGAAATTAACTCTTACATGTAGGTCTATGACACATTTTGAGTTTTTGTATATGGTGTGAGGTAGAGGGTTTAACTTCATTTTTTTTACATGTGAATATCCAATTGTCTTAGCACTAGTTGTTAAAGAAGACTATTTTTTCCCCACTTTAAATTGTCTTGGCATGCTTCTTGAAGATCTAGTTACCATAAACGTAAGGGTTTATTTCTTTACTCTCAATTTTATTTAATTAATCTATATTTGTAATCTTATACCGGTACCACACAATCTTGAATCCTGTAGCTTTGCAGGACATTTTGAGATCAAGAAGTGCAAGTCCTCCTATTTTGTTCTTCTTGCTCAAGATTGCTTTGGGTATCCTGGTTCCCTTGAATTTTCATAATTTTAGGACCAACTTGTCAATTTCTATTTTTAAGAAGGCAGTTATAAATTTGGTGCATTTGATTGCATTGGATCTGCAGATCAACTTGAGAAGTATTGCCATCTTAACAACATTAGGTCTTCAAATCCATGAATAGGTGATTTCCATTTGTTTAGAACTTTCTTTCTTTCAACAGTGTTTTGTAGTTTTCAGTGTACACGCCTTTCACTTATTTTGGTAAATTTATTCCTCAAATATTGTATTTCTTTTATGCTAATGTAATGAAACTGTCTTCTTAATTTCATTTTTGGATTGTTCATTGCAAGTGTATAGAAATACAATTGATTTTTAAAATATTGACATTATATCCTGTAACCTTGATGAGCTCATTTATTAGTTCTAAATAGTTTGTTAGTGGGTTCCTTAGGATTTGCTATATATACAAGATCATGTCATCTGAAAATAAAGATAGTTTTACTTCTTCTTTGTAAATCCAGATGACATATGTGCCCCCAGACTCTAGTGTTCATTAAACATACCCATAAACTCCCTCTTTGTGTTCCACTCAATTTTCAGTACCAGACTAGTCATGAATTTTGGTAGGCCAGCAAATCCTAGCCAGGGTGGGATGGACCAGGCTCTACTTGGTCAGATACCTGCAGTCTCTCTAGAAGGTACTCTGAGAGTCCCTTCTCTCTATGACTTGATGATGAAGAGGAGAAGAAAAAAGTCTGAAGCATCATTCCCCAAGCACTTCATACTTTAATGAATTTTTCCACTTTAAGAAGTTTCTAGTCTTCTCTTCATATGGTTTAGAGATGAATTATAGAGTAATGTTCAGGCAATCTGTTTGACACATTTTTTTCTTCTTATAGATTTAGGGGTGCAAGTGCAGTTTTCTTACATGGATTATTGCATAGTGGTGAAGTTTGGGCTTTTAGTGTGCCCATCACCCAAACAGTGTACACTGTATTCAGTAGATTGTATTTCATCCCTCACTTCTTCCCACTCTCTCAGTCTCCCACCTTCCTACCTTTTGGAGTCTCCAATATCTATTATTCAACTTTGTATATTCATGCATATCTGTTCCCAAATGCCAGGAATTTGGACAGGGGTCCTATTGCTTTTGCTGAACAGAAAGCCAATCACTGAGCCAATGAGTATTGTGTGATATCAGTCAAGGGAAGAGGGAAATTGTCTCAAATCCACCCCCACCCCATCCCACAGAAGTCAAGCGTTTATATAGTGGAACAGGAATGTAGAAAATAAGGAAGGGTTAAAGAAAAAGAGTTGGAAAACAGGAATTGAGGAGAGGTAAGAAAGAGGAGTCAATAGACATGTGGGGGCTAGCATATCATTGTCTGGATGTGGTAATCTAGTGAATTTCAGTTTCTTGATTCTATAAGACTGAGGGTGGGTTTCCAGAAAAAGTAACTCAGATTAAGAAAAATGTAAGTTTCAAGTCTTAAAGTCAGGAAGGTCAATTTCAGTTTCCTGAGAAAGAAACTTAGATAAGACAAGTATACATTTCAAGCTTCAAGACCAGAAGGGTCAATTACTGTGTTTATTCAAAAAGACCTGGGCTGATTTCATAACCATTCTTTAGCTCCCACTTTAAAGTGGGAACACGTGGGTTTTGCCTTTCTGTTTCTGAGTCATTTCACTTGTGCGAATGCCTCCAGTTCCATCCACATTGCTGTAAAAGACATAATTTCATTCTTTCTCATGGCTGAGTAGTATTCCATCGTATATAAATATCATCTTTTTAATCCAATCACCCACTGATGGACACTTAGGTTGATTTCATGATTTTGCTATTGTGAATAGTGCTGTGATAAACATATGAGTACAGGTGTCTTTTTGATATAATGATTTATTTTATTGTGGGTAGACACCTAGTAGTGAAATTGCTGGATCAAATGGTATTTCTTCTTTTAATTTAGACACATTTAATAAATTTTATATGGGTATACTTAAGAGTTCTTCTTTAGAAATTGAGGCAGCATTTTATTATAATATTCTATGTACACTTAAAAATGTGCATACTCAGGGGGAGGGGAAGGGAGGTGGGATTAACGGTAGTCAATATCTGTCTGGGAACGGGGCGACACCCCTTATAAACAAGAGTGCCTGAACAAAGCATATTTGTATACCTAACCCTAAACTGTACCCCACAATATCAAAATAAAAAATATTGATTAAAAAATGTGTATACTCTATGACTCTAAAATTCCTCTTCCAGGAACTTACTCTAAGAAAGTAACTAGGCATACGTGAAAAGATAAAGTTTCAATGTTTAAACAAGGAAAAATTAGATTCAATTTAGTTGTCCAACGAAAGAGAGCTTGTTAAATATTACAGAGGCTTATTAGGTAGCCATTATTTTAAAAGTTGTAGAAGACCATTCAATGCCATAAAATAATTTTCCCATTATGTTATTTAGTAACAAAATAGAGTTATAAAATATATGTATAATATAATTCTATTTTTGTAGAAGAAAAACTATATACATAGAAAAAAATTGTAAGGAAAGAAATCAAATCATTGCAGATAGGTATCGTCCATGCAATTAAAGGTCTTTTTGTTTTAATTTATGTATATTCTAAATATTTATTGCACTTGCAATATGAAAACAAAGCTACTTTGTTTTTAAAGAGAAGTTTAATGAGCTGAGAGTGGCTTTGACTGACAAGAGGAAATTCAGGGGGAACATACTTAAGGGACTGCTACACAGAAGACGAAAGCAAGACTTCTAATTGACCCAAGAGTAGAACTAAGGTCAAGAGAATGGAAGCTTTCAACTCAGGACAAAAAGTTTTCTAATAATCAGATCTTTGTTCCTCAAGAAATGCTAAGTTTCTCATCATTGGAGGCAATTTAACCTAACTGAGGTAATTTCTTGGTAGGTAGAGAGAATTGGCTCAGAGCCTCCCCGTTAGATGGGAGGAGCATAAAAACGTTGATTTGCTGTGTGCCTACATAACCAAGTAGAAAGAAAATTGAATTCCACTTATGATAACTGATAATACTCACATGATACTGTATTTTCTCTTTCTTTTAGCCCGTTGGTCTTTGCAAAGGTTCTCTAACCAAAACACGCATGGAAAAGTTTGTCTCTGTGACTTGTGACTTCTTTGAATCACAGGTATTTTTCAATCTAATTGTTTGTCTTTATGTGAAGAGAAGCAGATTATTTATATTTAGTTGTCACTACCTCACCCCTTCCTTTGATTTTCCCAACTTCCATGCTCACTGCTTTATTCAGGTGGCCTGAAGTCCACATCCACAGGGTAACTGATCAAAGCTATCATGCTTTGTTTTAGTCACAATGTGGTCCTTCAGAATAAGGAAAACAAATTCAGAAACAAGGAATGACTGGCTTGGATTGTACATGCCTTTGAGGCATTAAATTCAGGGTAAAAAAGAAAACTTACCCCAAACCACAGGGAGAAGTTGTTTCCAAGAAAATATTCCTTGTTTGTTTTGTTTTGTTTGTTTGTTTTGGAAAACAGGAACAAGACAGGGCTGCCCACTCTCATTCCCAAGAAAACATTTCTTTTGAGAAGTATTTATTGAGCACTTATTATGAGATAGACTAGTATAATTAACAGAGCAATTGAGGCAGGCCACCTGGGATCCAGTGATGTAGTGTGAGTGGTGTAACAGTAGGTATGTACTTACCTGTTTGAGTTTTGGTTGCCTTATGTATAAATGGAATTACAACAACTGCACCATTCAGATCCTTGTGGAAAGCAAGTTAAAAAGACCTGAATGAAGTGTGCTGTTCAGGGCCTGGGCAGAATAAACAATCAGTAAAAGGCACCTGTTGCTGCCACTACTAGAAATAGGAAGACAGCTCAATGGAGACTTTGAACAAATCATTGAACTTGTCCGAGCCAAGCTCTGAAACTGAATAATGGCTCTTCTTTATTTTGCTTTTTAACCCTTTCACCAGGTAACCCATCTCTCTACCTGGTTTCCTTTCAAAACATTCCAATATGGTACAGATCAGCTTATCCTGGTGCCAGGCATGGAAGGGCTTTCCCTATGGAACTCTGTATTTGAATATGTTTTTATTTCAGGCTCCAGTCACTGGAAGTGAAAACTCTGGTGTTAACCAGAAACCTGCAAGCCTCCCCAACGTGGAAGAGCCACAGCAGAAAAACACATCCCCTACTGACACCCCCTCCAAAACTGAGCCAAAAGGATCTGTCCAATACCTTCCCAATTCGGATAATGAGAATTCCCAAAATTCCCAGGATCAGGGCCCTCGCGAGTCCTTCCCTGTGCAGCTGGATCTAACCACGAATCCCCAAGGAGAAACACTGGATGTCTCCTTCCTCTTCCTGGGGCCAATGCAGAGGAAGCTGGTTGTCCTGCCTTTCCCCAAAGAGGAAGATCGCTCAGCCGAGTGCCCGGGGCCATCCCAGGAGACCAACCCTTTCGTCCCCCCTTCATGAGAATCACAGAGTATCGCATGGGAGTGTGGGGTCCTGCACAAGACACGAGGTGGTGGGGACAAAGAGCAGAGAGCAGAGTGCAAGTGTAGAGAGTGGCTAATGAAGTAGGTCTTCGACTCTTCTTGGTCTCAGCATGTTGGCTGGGAAAGGGGTATAACCAGACCAAGCCTTCCAGTGGGCTCCATTCTACCCTGTATGCTGCACTGTACCCTGGGCTGCATCCCTTCCCACAAGGATCACAGTCTCATGCCATAGATAGATGCCTCTCTGTGTCTTCAACTACTCACTAATAAAGATTTCTATTCTCTCAGCAGTATAAATATGCTCAAATCTTGATATCCAAGCCTTCCATGAGTAAAGGTAACTTCCCTAATACCAAGACGCAGGCAACTGAGACCCAGCGGAGTTTCACTCTCTACATTCCCCTTAATTCCAAGGTCAGGTACTAGCTGGGTATCGCCCACACTATTTCCAACCCTCCACCTCTTTACATCTGTTTGAAAGTCTCAGCGTCTCAACAGCAGGGCAGCTCAGGTAGAGATGGGCACATGGAAGAGAAGTGTGCCTGTGGCCTGCACAGGACACTGTGAGAGCACTGGACACAAGAGTTCTCATCGCTGTTACAATTTCTCTTAGAACAGGTAGAGAGGGACCCAGCATGGCAGTCAAGCATAGTCTTCTTTCTTCATATTTCAAAACTTGTGGGACAAGTTCCCCTACAATTAGCAATCACCACTTGTACATGCACACACACACACACACACACACACACACACACACACACACACACACACATGCACACACAGGATAGGACTTTTGATATTTTGATAGAATTTGTAGATGCAGCTGTAATCCTTCATTCTGGCAGTTGTTTCTTAGAAGAGGCACATAGGCTTTGGCATGATTTACCGAAGGGAAGTAGACAATATTCACACTCTGTTACTCTTATCTGCTTCCCACAGAAGGAAGAGAGACTATGTAGGGACGCCATGGGGTGTCTTACGCCCTGTGTCAGTCAGGCTCTGAAAGAAGCAGAATGTACTTGAGTGGTGTGACTGAAAATACTCTAGTGAAGGGAACTTCATGAAGCTTGTGAACTAGGCTAAGGGAAAAACAAGGGATGCTGAGGCACCCGGACAAGAGCAACAGCAGGAAGCCTTTGTCACCCTAGGCTGGACAGAAAAGGAGGATGGCTGGCTTACCCAAGCCCAGCGTGAGCAGTGGATGCAGAGGGAGTGCCGCCTGCAGCAGCAGCCCTGGTGGGGGGCCCAGCTACTGCAGAACCTGGTGCTGAAGCAGGAGGGAGCAGAAAGCGAGCACCCTGCCCTCTCCCTCCTTTCTTCCCTCCTTACAGCCTCCTCCTCCCATTGGCTCTTTGAACCCAATAGTAAACTGGCCAGCAGGAAGGCCTGGGTTATTCATCCCCCTGGAGTCAGCCTGGGGACAGGGCCAGGCAGAGAAAGTTAAAGGATGGACCCAGGACAAACACAGTAAAACAATCTCAAGCCCCAAGTGGAGATTCTCCCAACAATGTTCCATGACACCTCTATGCTGAAAAAAGAATGGGGAAGGACCTTAGACATTGTGTCTCCTTCTAATTATCACCGCCTTTCTTTTTCCGTGGCTAAATTCTTGAAAAGGTAGATTTTTCCCATGCCTGCCACTTCCTCAACAACTCCTCATTCTTCAGATCTTTGTAATGTGAGTCCACTTCTTTCTCCATAAACCACTGATCTGGTGTTCCCTAATGACCACCTTATTCTAAATGCAAAGGAAGCATTTCTGTTCACATGTACTTATAATGTTTCAAACATCTGATGATACTGACCTTTGTTCACTCTTTTAAGCTTTCTTAATAGACTCTATCCCACCATCCTCCAGGTTTTTTCCTACCTTTATGACTACTTCCTCTCTTTTTTTTTGAGTTAGAGTCTCACTCGCCCAGGCTGCCCTCACCAACTCCTCACTCTATATCTTTTTTGGTGAGGTTCAGATCTTTTGGCCATTTTTTAGTTGGGCTATTCATTTTCTTATTGTTAAAAAAGTCACTTTTATACATCCACCAGAGATCATTCTTAATACCATATAACTAGAAACGCCCAATTCCTTAAGTTTCAGCTTAAAAGACTAGTGTTAGCAATTTGCTAATCACTGATTACTTGAACACAAGGACCTCAAATTAGTCATGATTGCAGCATTTTGGCAAGGCTGTGGATTTGCTTGCCAGTATGAAGTTTGCAGAGTAAAAAAACAAAGATCAAGGACTGAAATCTAGAGAAACAGCATCTAAGAGGTGAGCCAAGAAGAGGAATCCGAGGTGGGTTATGAGAGGAAGTGGGGCGGGGCTTGGTGGCTCAGCCTGTAATCCCAGCACTTTGGGAGGCCATGGCAAGTGGATTACCTGAGCCCATGGGTTCAAAACCAGCCCAGGTATCTTGGCAAGACCTGTCTCTACAATAAATAAATAAATGCATACATAAATAAATAGATAGATTAGCCGGGCGTGGTAGCATGCGCCTGTAGTTCCAGCTACTTGGAAGGCTGAGGCAGAAGAAATGCCGGAGCCCAGCAGGTCGACACTGGGGTGGCCATGAGTGTGCCACTGCACTCCAGCCTGGGCAACGGAGTGAGACTCCAACTCAAAAAAAAGAAAAAACAAAAGAATAAACTCTGAGAGGACTCTAAGAACAGCAGAAAAACACGTTACTCATAGGGTGGGTCCAGCAGCCTACTCAACCTGGCAAAGCCAGAGCATGCCAGCCACACGGGTTCAGCATTATGGTGCTGGTGGGCCCCAGCAGCTGGAGCCTAGGCTCCAGGGCATGCTTATCACCTGCAACAAGAACGAGGGCAGGTGCATGGAAGAGGCCTCCAGGCTGCTCAATGGGTGTGGCAACAACATGTACAGCCCTGGAAAGTTTACAGACAAGGATCAGCAGCTCTCTGGAAGTGAGAGAGGAGATGACGATGCAGAGGCCACCTTGAAGAAAGAAGTTGGTGACATTAAGGCATCTACAGAGATGACAGAGGTGGCACTAAGAAGATTCCAGTCAGTGGAGAGTGGGGCAAAGAATGTCATTCTCATCAGTACACTTGGGATAGAACCTCAGAAATTGGTACATCATATTCTCCAGGATATGTACAAAGCCAAGAAGACGACGACTCATGTTATTCTATGAATGTTACCATCTCAGGCACCTTCACGTCTCGTTTAGAAGATATGAAAACAAGCTGGGTATGGTGGCTCATACCTGTTATCCCAGCACTTTGGGAGGCAGAGGTGAGAGGATTGCCTGAGTTCACGGGTTCGAGACAGGCCCAGGCTACATAGTGCGACCTCATCTCTACACTAAATAAAAAAAATTAGCCAGGTGTGGTAGCACATGCCTGTAGTTCTGGCTACTTGGAAGGCTGAGGCGGAAGGATCACTGGAGCCCAGCAGGTTGACACTGGGGTAGCTGTGAGCATGTCACTGCACTCCAGCCTGGGTAATGGAGTGAGACTCCAACTCAAAAAAAAAAAAAAAAAGAAGAAGATACATAAACAAGCTGGGCATGGTGACTCATGCCTGCAATCCCAGTACTTTGGGAGGCAGAGGTGAGAGGATTGCCTGAGTTCAGGGATTCATGATTGACCTGGGCAACTTGGTGAGGCCTCTTCTCTACAATAAATCAAAAAAATAGGTGGGCATGGTGGTGCATGCCTGTGGTTCCAGCTACTTGTAAGGCTGATGCAGAAGGATCACCTGAGCCCAATAGGTCAAGGCTACGGTGGCCGTGAGCCTACCACTGCACTCCAGCCTGGGTGAAAGAGTGAGACTCCCACTCAAAAAAAAAAAAAAATTAACAAGATATGAAAAAATATACAGAAACATTTTTGGAACTCTAGTTTAAAGCTCCAAACAAAGGGACATTTCCGATTGTATACAGATCTCAAAATAACAGTCATATGAATAGAGAAGTTATCAAAAACTTGGCAGGAATAGTAGGCAGCCTCAATTCAGAAAATAAAATTGATCTCACCAATCCACACTACACAGTGGTAGTAGAAATCTTCAAGACTGTCTGTTGCCTTAAGTGTTGTGAAAGATTACATGCTGTTCAGAAAATACAATCTCTAGGAGGTGGTGAAGAGTGCCAAGGACCTGTCACAGCCTAACCCAAAGCAAGGAAATGGAAATGAAGCTACACTGGAATCTGGTGACAAATCAAATAAAAACAACTCAGAAGAAGAAAAAAAAGACCAGCAGGTGGTACCAGAGAATAGTGAGGAGCTGGGGCAGACAAAATTAACATGTGAGGTGCAGGTCGTGAGTGAAGGCAGAGTCAAACCTAAACTTGTAAGTTAAGCCACAGAAGGACCCAAGTCAATGAAAATGACCTTGTCCAGGAGGTCATTGGGTGTTGGAGGTGGGTTTCTCAACTGGGATCCTGTGAGTTGTTACTGGGGTTCCACATAAAACTGTGACTAAAAATACCATCTTTACTTCTGTGGGTTGCGTTGCTATTCTACAGCAGTGAGCATACAGAGAGCTGTCAGTCCAGTATGGCAGGGTGCATAGGCTCACATGCTATCGCACAGAGAAGAGAGCCGGAGGAGGAGGACGTTGGCCTGTCCCAGCCCCCTCTTCTGCACTGCCAACTGACTTATGGGACTGAACAGGCTCTGTGAAGCAGAAAATCAGAGGGAAGTTTTCCTTCTAAGGAAGGATGTTTCACATGCCACAGCTAAGCTGTCCCCTGTCACTTTGTTGTTAACACTGTAAATGTAGATTGTGTAAGTTAGAAGTGAATAGTTTTGTGAAGTTTTTGTACTTTTTGTGATATTCTTATTTCGTTATGTTCATTTTTATATTTCATTAACTTTTTTTATGTCAGAGTCTCACTCTGTCACCCAGGCTGGAGTGCAGTGGCACGTTGACAGCCACTGCAGCCTTGACCTGCTGGGCTCAGGCAATCTTCTGCCTCAACCTTCCAAGTAGCTGGAACTACAGGCACGTA